CAGAGTCAGTTATTACTACAGACCTCCATCACATAACATAGCAATTTTAAAGTTGGGGCTTGGGTGGAAGAAGGGTGTGTTGGCAGAACTTTAGGGAAGAACGGTAAGGCCCAGACTGACTGTGTTTTATACCTGGTGTGAGAACCGCACAGCCAGTTGGAAGTCTGCCTGAGCAGCATTCCAGGCACCTCCCACATCACTGTGTCACTTCACTGAGTGGCCCTGGCTGGGCAAGCTAGTTGATCTTTTAAATACTTTTCAATTTGTTGTGTGTGTTAAAACCAGCAGCGACTCCAAAAACAGAGTTACTGATGTTCAGTACTTTACCCTGACCATTTGTTCCTCTCAAAGACTCCCAGTGAAAAAAGGGAAGAGAGATTTTGGATGCCCTTTTCCCTAGTTATGGTCCATTGAAATTACTTTGAACTTGGGTAGGAAGCAAAAAGGAACTTTGTGGGTAAATTTAAAACTACTGAGGAAAAAAAAAGCATTGTATTTTTAGGGTTTGAGTGTTTTGACTTCCTGTATATCTTGTTACACGGGGCCTCCCTATGTTTCTTTTTCAGACCCAGTGGCTTATTGGCTCAGGAACGCAAGCTCTGTCGGGATCTAGTCCATAGCAACAAAAAGGAACAGGAATTTCGTTCCATTTTCCAGCACATACAGTCAGCTCAGTCTCAGCGGAGCCCCTCTGAACTGTTTGCCCAGCATATAGTGACCATTGTTCACCATGTTAAAGGTGAGTGCAGACCCCAGCCTGCTTGAGCCTCCCTTTCTGTGTGCTTAGCTTCCTCTGCTATAAGCAGAAGGATGAGTGGGTGACTAAGGGAGCCTTTTGGGGCCCTTTATCTCATCAAAAGGGCCTTTGAAGCTAGGGACTGACTGGCTTGAAGGAAATTCCTTCCGAGGAGGAGTTTCCATTTTGTAATTACAGACTTGAACATTTCAAAATTATAGTAACCTGTGCTCGTGAGAATAGGTAAAATACTTCACGTAAGGTTTAAAATGCTGGCAGAAGGAAGTATGAAAAGTGGCTTTTCCAGCACCTCTGTCTTTTCCTTTCTAGCAGATGAAAGCCTGTAGAGATCTCTCAGAGACTTTGTGGTGTGAATTTCTTCCCCACATTATTCTACCATTTCCTGGGCAGATTGAGGTGGGCAGGTTGGGAATGGCTGAGAGAAGTGATACAGAAGCTAGGTTGTGCCAGTTACAGGTTCTACCTGAAATCTAAACTCCAGTGGGAGTTGGTGCTGTGATTCACAGAGAAGTGAGCTCTCGGTTTCCTTGTATCCATGTCCTAAGACAAGGGACTTATATAGTGGAAACCCATTGGCCAACATTGGATCGTGTCTGAACCAGCCGTTTTTCCTTCCTCTTTTCAGCGTGTTTGTTACGTGTATTTGACCACTTGAGTCACATCTCTGGCTACAGGTTCATGCAGAAGAGTTGAATATTCTGCCTTTGGTAGCATAACGTGTTCTTTGAATTCCCACAGAGCATCACTTTGGGTCCTCAGGAATGACATTGCATGAGCGCTTTACTAAATACCTAAAGAGAGGAACTGAGCAGGAGGCGGCTAAAAACAAGAAAAGCCCAGAGATACACAGGTGAGGACTTCAGCCTTACACTGGAGGTGGCCGTAAAAGATCGCTCATCAGATAATAAACTCCTCTTGTTTTTATCAACATTAGGTGCGTTAGCAGCAGGGTTTAGGGTAAATACTCTCCAGACTCTAGGGTAGCAGTGGGCGTTTGTTGTTTGAGTGGAAAGGACACGCCTTAATGACTATGGTTGCTCACTTTGGGCCTGAGGAAGACCGGCCTTTTGATATAGATGAATCCTTGTGTTGTTGGGAGCTGACAAATAGTAACCTGTGACCACTGTGAACTTTCTATAGGCAGAGTAAATGCTAAGTTTCTGTAAGCAACCCCTGTGTTCCATATATCTACTTCTTTTGGAAGAATTTGCAGTGGGTGGGAGAGCTTGCAGAATTGTGTCAAAGGGTTTAAAAGCCCAGCAGTTTTAGAGTATCACATTCAATTGTGGCAGTATATTCAGCAGTTTCGGGCTTTGTCTAGAAATAAACTTGGCTGTATCTTTAATTTCTTAATAGTCCGCTCTTGAGCCTGTTGCGGTAGGTAGGAGAAGGCTGTTTCTACAACAGTCTTCGGGCTTTAGGGTCTTTGGGGTGTGTGTACGTGCCAGGCCGTTGTTTTCTCATCTAGACCGAATCTCATAGGTAAATAATGGGCTATTATATTCTTATTCCCAAGATGAAAACTGCTCTTTGAGGTTAGCAGGGCATGGATAGTCTTGATGTGAATTTGAGATAAAAGGTGTGGGTGTAGGTGAGTCTTTCTTCCTGGCTGTAACAGTATTGGGAAGGAATGAGAAGTTTCTTCAGTTTGAGTTTGAGAGGTTGGTGTGTGTGTTGTGTGTACGCACCTGTGTGCTCACGGACACACCTATGGGAGAGTATAAACATATAAGCAAAGAATGTAAATAATGTATGTGTCTAAGTTAGGAAACATAATGAAAAAGCATGCCTATGATTCTGTTGCCCAATTTATGAACTAAAATGTTACCACTACTGTATTCATACTGTGGGATATTAAACCTTTTTTCTGTTTTCAATTTTTAGGAGGATAGACATTTCTCCCAGTACATTCAGAAAACATGGTTTGGCTCATGACGAAATGAAAAGCCCACGGGAACCTGGCTACAAGGTGAACTGTTGCTTTGATCGTAATTCCAACAAAATGAGTGCGTTGGGCATGAACTTGACAGAAATGTGTTTGTTTAAATTACTCTCTACTTAAGTTTGTGTTTTTCTTTTAAGGATGGGCATAATTCTAAAAATGAACTACAAAGGGTTAATTTTTATTAAATGTATCAACAACCTTTGTGAAGTGGTTAGAATATGGTAAATGACCCCAAAGTCTATTGAGGTGAGCTTGAGAAAAAAAAGAGAGGAGTTTTGGAACAAGTGCCCATGATGAGAGAAGAAACTTTTTGTGATATTTTTCTGCTTGTAAGTATTATCAAATCAACTATATTACATGCACTATTTCCAACCATGATTTCAAAAAGACATGCATGTCAGAGGAGAGTGAAATATTCATATCTTAACATGGTAGACTGTTTTAAACAGCTAGTCCAGTTTTTTTTTCTAACATTGTACCATATTTATCATCTGTCGGTTACTGTTACTTTAAAAGCTAAACATTATTTTGATAGCCCAGCTACATTTGCAATGATGTGCACGCAAACATAGTTATTAAGAAGTTAAAGCTTGTATGCAGTCTTTTTACTGTGAAATAATAGGTTTGGGTTTTTTTTTAAGTCTTAGTGTTTATTGACCTTCATTCACATATGCAGTTAAAATTTAAAATTAAAGATTTCCATTGCTGCTGAAACCTTTTCTAAAGATATTAATCTTCAAGTCTTCTGGACAGAATTGTCTTGGTAGTTGAAGGTGATGAGAAGCACTCTGGCACAGTGTCTTCTCTCCCACCCCCTTTTCTTTTTCTCCATTTGTCGCCTCCCCCACCCCCCGGTCCTCCCTCAGCTCGGCACTAACCATGTGAAATGCAAGGCTTTGAAACAGCAGAAGAGAGCTGGTCCTCAAGGCCTCGCAGAGCTGACCCCATAGAGGTGCTGGGGGTGCACGGCCTCAGGGAGCAGCGTCTGCCTTTGTTTTGTTGTTTTGTTCTGTTTTTGTCTTTGGAGGGTGCAGAGGCCCCATTCCCTCTCAAAACCAACATGATAAAAATAAACCTTAAACTTATTTCGGCAAAAAGCTTAGTAGTTTGTGTAAGTGCAATGTTAATACAGAGTCAGCTGCCCATTCCTTCCTCTTTTAGGGAAGTTTTACTTCCCATGAGGCAAATCCTGGTGCTTAATGATCCTGAATCCACCTTGCCCTCTGCTCTGAGTGTCCCAAGAGCTGTCGAAAGCCTTTGCCCTGGTTTGGGACGCACAGTGCTACTGCTGTCCATCTGCGGTGCATGTGCCCTGAGGCTTCGACTTCCTAGGAAGTCAGCAAAAACGGGGTTTTGCTTTCTTTTTCTGCTGCTGCTTTTTTCTTTTTTAAAATAAATTTCGACCTGGTATTGTCACTTCATGAATTTTCCATTATGGTTTTTGATGTTCCCTCTCTAAAGCTGTTTCTCATTGTAACTAAGCATTTTGGAAGGTTGCTGTAGTGTCCCATGCTTTGTTGCTGGGCTGCATGCTCAGAGCCAGTTCCAAGGAGAGCATAAACCCATGGTGGCTGCCACAGCATAGGTAGGGAAGGACAACACGACACAGGCATTTCCGCTCTTGGTGGTGACTATAGGCCTGAGCCAGCCTAACCAGCCACCCTCTAAAGCGGAATTTGGCCTTCTCAGCTTGTAGGCTAGCCAGAGTCATTACTGGGCCACAGAGGAAGCAAACAAGGCGAGATCGATGTTCAGCATTTTCGGAAGGTAGACATCATTATTTCAGAGAACTGGTTTGGGTTCTGTGAGGGACCCTCAGGAAGGGACTTCTGTGGGACGTCCTGTATCCCTCCCAAGCTTGGGTGCAGTGCCTCACACTCCCAGTGCTTCCTCTGTACCACTCCATTGGAGTGGAAACCACAGTTTGTGGGGTGGTTGAGTTGGCAGCCCTGAATCCCAAAAACCTTCATTTTGATTTCTCTCTTGGCAGACTGAGGGAAAATACAAAGATGATCCTGTTGATCTCCGCCTTGATATTGAACGTCGTAAAAAACATAAGGAGAGAGATCTTAAACGAGGTAAATCAAGAGAATCAGTGGATTCCCGAGACTCAAGCCACTCGAGGGAAAGATCAGCTGAGAAAACAGAGAAAACTCATAAAGGATCAAAGAAGCAGAAGTACGTAAGCCCCTGTTCCCTCATTCAGACTTCTGAGTGGGGTCTCTTGTCTGCTCCTTCTGGACTCTCTGCCACAGTTTCATTTAGGGTTAGGGATGATAGCAGTTTGTTCTTTGATATCCTGTAACTGTCAAGTAAGGTCCCTGGCTTGAAAACAACTTCTGCATCAAAGTAGGGGTATGATCCTTGTCCAGAGAAGGCCTCCTGGGAGATGGGTGTTTAGTTTGGCTCTAGGGATGGAGTGGAAAATCATTTGGGAATTCTTTTTGGGTTATTTTAGACATTTTCTTTGATACATTCTTTTTCATCACAAATTTTAATGGGGAGGTTATGTTTTAGAAATGGCTCAAAGTTGTTGGCTCATAGTAACACTTTTGTCAAAGACATAGGGTGAAACTAAATATAGGACAAGGTTGTTGATTTTTTTTTTTTTTTTTAAGAACATTACCGCGGCCGCCCCCCCCCATTAATGTTTCTTTATTTTGAGAGAGAGAGAGCGAGAGAGACAGACAGAATCCCAAGCAGGCTCAATGCTGTCAGCACAGAGCATGATGAGGGGGTTCTTGGGGCTCTGTCTCACGAAGCATGAAATCATGACCTGAGCCAAAATCAAGAATTGAATACTTGACTGAGCCACCCAGGCGCCCCAAGATTGTTGATCTTAAATGCCCTTTAAGATCTAGTTTGACAGACACTTCCAAATAAGGTGTTCCAAATATTCTTTAAACAAAGGTAGCGTTGTTGAACTTCATAGGGCAGCATTCATGCCAAGGTACTGTCATTTCTGTTTACATCTGTGAAAGTTCCATGACTTTTCAATCATGTCTCATTAAACGTAGAATTGAAGCCCCACACATTCCCATATGAAGCAACACCACTTTTGCTGTTTCTGAACTTTGGCCATTAGGCGTTTTCATTATCCATTTTCTGATAACAATCCTTTGAGATAAGTTGCACGGTTGGTATGGTACCCGCTTTGCCCATTTGAAAGATAAGCTGAGCTTATAATGATTTTTCTGAAATGACATATTATCAGCTGACATCAAAACTCAGATCTTCTGTTCCACTTTTTCTTCCTTCCACTGTCTTACTTGTGCATCAGGAGCCCTGGTACTTGCCAGGGCTGCCCCCTGACAAAGGGACCTGATAATCCTCAACAGGGAGTGGATGTGGTGGTCCAGTAGTCCTCAGCACTGCTTCTGGTGGAAAGGAGGCAAAACCCCTCAAACATTTCAGGGTTGGGTTTGGATTATTGATCCTGATTCCTTTCCCTGGAACACGTACCTCTTCCTCTGACTTGCTGTGTGATGTTGAAACCCTAGTGTTTTGTGATTGGGGCAAGAAGAAAGATGTTTAATCTTGTTAAATATCACTCTTCAGGGGCTCCTGGGTGACTCAGTCGGTTGGGCATCCGACTTTGGCTCAGGTCGTGATCTCACAGTCCGTGAGTTCGAGCCCAGTGTTGGGCTCTGTGCTGATGGCTCGGAGCCTGGAGCCTGCTTCAGATTCTGTGTCTCCCTCTCTCTCTGCCCCTCCCCTCTCATGCTCTGTCTCTCTCTGTCTCAAAAATAAATTAAAAAAAAAATTAAAAGAAATTAAAAAAAATATATATATATATATATATCACATCACTCTTCAGTTTACAAAAACGGTTTCTCGAATGACTGAAGAACAACTTAACCCAAGATCACACAAGTAATAAAAGTGATGCTGGGACTCCAGTCTGAGGCCTTTTGGGATCTTGTTTTTAAAACCTCTTGGGGCGCCTGGGTGGCGCAGTCGGTTAAGCGTCCGACTTCAGCCAGGTCACGATCTCACGGTCCGTGAGTTCGAGCCCCGCGTCAGGCTCTGGGCTGATGGCTCAGAGCCTGGAGCCTGTTTCCGATTCTGTGTCTCCCTCTCTCTCTGCCCCTCCCCCATTCATGCTCTGCCTCTCTCTGTCCCAAAAATAAATAAATGTTGAAAAAAAAAATTAAAAAAAAAAAAAAAAACCTCTTAGAAAAATCCTGTGATGATAACTTAGATTTCCCCTATTTATGAGTAAATGCTAGAAAGAGGCACTAGGATTTAAATATTTAAGTTCTTGAGCTTCTCAAATGTCGAATGTAGTGGGAGGGGGGGGAGCAGGGTGCTTTGTTTGCGAAATGGAGGAGGACATGGGAAGGGAGGATAGCAGTAGGTTATTGGCGCTTGGCTGGACTTTACCTCTAAGTGTCCTCTACTCCTGGGAGCCTGGCCTTTCTGCCATCTTAAAGGCAGCCAGTAACCCCCACTAGCACATGGCAGGGCTGGCACCGACTTCTCCATAGACGGTGACTCATTGTAGTAAGCTAATTTGCCCTGGTCTGTAATTTCTCTCAGATGAAGGGAAGGGAGGGAAGTAACTCTGGGAAGAGTTTTGCCGGATCCTGTGCTTTAATAACTCAACCTGTTTGAGCTCAGTGAGAGGTGGTATGTGGGATAGTGGTATAATTAGAGCTAGGTTTGAACCCCAGTTCTGCTCAGCTCTGTCACCCTGAATCTCTTGTCTATAAAGTGGGAGAAATAATACTGAATAATCACAGCCGCCATTCACTACTCACCTGCTATGTCATTGTGAAGTGTTGAAGCATATTGTTTGTTCAGTCTCTAGAACAGGCCTAAATTAGGCCAGTAGTGTTCTTCCTATGAGAAAAGAAGTAATGTAAAGCACTAAACACACAGTAATATATTAAGCCTCTGTCCCAGTCCCAGATACATCATGGCTTGCAATGCAGTGTTCTCTCCTCTGCCTTTCTAGTTCATGCAAATGTATTATACGGGGCCATGGGCTGTGTTCTGTTCCTTCTCTGTGTATGTCCCATGTTCATCACAGGCTGACACATAGACCTGTCACTGAACATGACCCACGGAACTGAGAGGAGGCCTCCTAGGTACCCTGGGTGGGTAAGTTGGGGGTGAGTTGGGTGTTTTGAGGTTACTCAGTGTCTTCAGTGTTTTCATCACAGATATGTTCCTGATTGCCCTGTGCTTCTTACCAGTGAGTCCCCAGCCAAGGGCTGTACCCTGGAGCTTGGTGATTTAAATCCCTGGCTCTTCTGTTTTCGTAGGAAGCACCGGAGAGCGCGAGACCGGTCCAGGTCATCCTCCTCTTCCTCCCAGTCATCCCACTCCTACAAAGCGGAAGAATACACTGAAGAGACGGAGGAGAGGGAAGAGAGCACCACAGGCTTTGACAAGTCCAGACTGGGGACCAAAGACTTCGTGGGTCCAAGTGAAAGAGGAGGCAGAGCTCGAGGGACCTTTGTAAGATCCTGCTCCCTCTCCCTTTCTCTGAGCCCCTATTCCTTCCAATTGTTTGTTTATCCAAATACTAGTTTTATTGTCCTTGATACAAGGAATTCAGTCTATAGATCCCAGAATCTGTGGTTCCCCTCTTCCTTAAGCTTTTTCTTTTTACTTCTATTTCTTACCTAGAAAGCCTCTTGGGGCTGCTGACCTCATTATTTCCCCTACTTACCTTGAGTCCCTGCTGTGTCTGTAGGGAGGGCCTTGTGCCATGCGGTCCTCTCTGTATGGGCTCCAGACTTGAGCTAGAGACCATTTGACCAGCAGATTGACCAGAGGACTGCTGTCTGTTCTGCACTAGAACAGGATTTGAACAGAAGGCAGGGAGTTGTTTTTCTCCATTCCTGACAGAGTCCTTTGTTCCTTTTCCCTACTTATGCCACAGCAATTTCGAGCCAGAGGGAGAGGCTGGGGCAGAGGCAACTACTCTGGTAACAACAACAATAACAGCAACAACGATTTTCAAAAGAGAACCCGGGAGGAGGAGTGGGACCCCGAGTACACACCCAAAAGCAAGAAGTATTACTTGGTAGGTGTCTGGGATAAGCGGGAAGGGCCGGAGCAGTGCCTTGGGCACACACAGTAGCTGATACCAAGGCTTTGATTGATCTGTTCAGAACTGTGATTAAATACGTGTGCAGACATATTGCACTGGGGGGGGGGGGGGGGGGTTTGTACTTGAGGGACAGCACAGTGCCGGCAAAGATGAGTGTTCTCTTGAGAGCTGGTCCTGGTCTCAGAAGTGTTTTATCGTCTAAGAGGTTTATGGATTCTAGGATAAACAAGAAGGCTTGCTCTGGCCTTTTTAGTCTGTGAGCTTTTTTTTTTTTTTTTTTTTAAGTTTATTTATTTTGAGAGAGAGCGTACAGGGAAGGGGCAGAGAGAGAAAGAATCACAAGCAGGCTCCGCACTGCCAGCACAGAGCCCGACACGGAGCTCAAACTCACGAACTGTGAGATCATGACCTGAGCCAAAGTTCAGAGTCAGACACTTAACCAGCTGAGCCACCCAGGTGCCTCATAGGTCTGTGAGCTTTTTAATTGCTAACCCAACCTCAGCCTCCCTCCAGCCTTTATTCAGGGATGGAGTCATAACCCTCTCCCAAGTCTGCAGTTCCACTCTCACTCCCTCGTGCAAGATAGATAGAAAAGACAGCACAGGGTCTCTGTGAGGGAGGGGAATCTGTCTCCAGAATGAAATGACACCGGGCTCCTCTCATCTCAGATTCTGGTCACTCCGAAGTAGCAGGCATTTCCCAGGCTCTCCCTGTCTCCCTCATATTGGGGCTCTTCTAGGCTGGATTACCTTGCCAATGAGTAAGTTCTCTCCGCCTTGCTATATATCACTAGCAGGCCTAGGTCCCAGCACGTGACTCTGAGTGTTGTAACCAAAGTAAACTTGCAACCAAGGCTTCATCACCCACAAGAAGGGCTGGTGTTGGTGTGTATTGTCAGTTGCACAGTTAGGAAACAGGTTTTGTAGATGGTTGTGTACAGCCAACTTCACTTTTCTGGGGCTGCTAGGAGCTGAGTTGAGACTCCTAGAGGACCCTTGGACCCTCCAGGGAGGAGTTGGTGTGGCCTAGGATCAGTGCTGGAGTGGCACTGCTATAGGAGAAGGATTAAAGTCCCTCTAGAGCCCTTCTCCCTGTCTCCCATCTGCCTTCTGAAGGAGCATTGCTGGCTTCATGCATTTAGGCTGTTGAACAGGCAGCCCTGGTAAGAAGCAGCTGGCCCTTAGCTGAGTTGACCCCTGGAGCCTGAGGTCCTGCTTGTGATGGTTTAGAGTTTTTGAAGCCATGCGGCTCATGAGGGAACACTAACTTCTAGGTTTCAAAATGCTTTCTCATTCTTTCATTGGAGCCTCCTTCTCTCATGAGATCATCAGAACAGGATTGAGATGCAGGCTGTGTTTTTTTTCTGCTCAGCCACACTGCCTCTTTGCATGAAATTAAAGGGGGGATAGAAGATGGGAGGCTGGGTTCTGGTCCTGCCTTTGCCACTTACAGGTCTGACACTGTGACCAAGTCATTTGCCTTTGTTCTCACTTCCTGTTCCAGGCTGGTTGGGGTGGGGGGGTGGGGCGGGCGGGAAAAGCTGACATCCCAGCGAGGTATTGTCACTTCCTCTGGTAGCTGCCTGATGTCCCACATCAGACATAGTTTCATGTTTTGGTGTGATTGGCTTTCTCAGACCTGTCCTTTGAGAGATGGTGTGTTAAATAACATGGAGTCACCTAAAGTTGCTAAGCCTTTTTCCTTCCTCTTTTGCATGGTGGAGGGTGATAATGATAGGAGGGTAGAAGTGAGGATTAAATGAGGTCATGGGTGTGAAGGTCTTTCAGTGCTCAGTGAGGGTTTTATCATCATTTTTTTTTTAATTTTTTTTTTCAACGTTTATTTATTTTTGGGACAGAGAGAGAGCATGAACGGGGGAGGGGCAGAGAGAGAGGGAGACACAGAATCGGAAACAGGTTCCAGGCTCTGAGCCATCAGCCCAGAGCCCGACGCGGGGCTCGAACTCACGGACCGCGAGATCGTGACCTGGCTGAAGTCGGACGCTTAACCGACTGCGCCACCCAGGCGCCCCATATCATCATTATTATAATGCCCCCAAGCCACTGCCTTAGAATTCCTAAGGCACACAACAGGAAGATCGACTTGGGTCTGAATCAGTAGCATTTTTGGACTAGGGCACAGGGATGAGGACACAAAAGGAACAAACGGTGGGGTGGGGCAAAAGGTTGGTTTGAGAGTCACATTTGGATGAGAAGAGGGCTCTGGCCATGATTGTTCGCTCCAGTACTGATGGCAGTTTTCCTTCCTCTCAGCATGATGACCGTGAAGGCGAAGGCAGTGACAAGTGGGTGAGCCGGGGTCGGGGCCGAGGAGCCTTCCCCCGGGGTCGAGGCCGGTTCATGTTCCGGAAATCCAGCACCAGCCCCAAATGGGCCCATGACAAGTTCAGTGGGGAGGAAGGGGAGATTGAAGACGACGAGAGTGGGACAGAGAACCGAGAAGAGAAGGACAATTTACAGCCCACAACTGAGTAGGGGCCACTCTGATGGGAGCCCCTGCCCAGGGGAGAGAGGGCGCTGGGAAGATGGCTGGTGAGGAGCGAAACAGAGAAGCCTCAAGATTGCGAAAATCCCACCCTCCTCACCCCCCAGCCACGCAGAATCCTATATCACCGCCGAAAGCATCCCTGGCGCCAAGTCCCACTGGACAGGCGGCCGGCTGAGGGGCCTGGGGGTTGGGCCCAGCTCTGGAGCAGAACACAACACATTGGGCTTTAGCTGTGTTTCTCATTTGTTGTTGGTGTGCGGGGTGGGGGCTGGGGTAGGGAGGGGAGAGCGATACCTGGATTTTGGTTTGTTCCCTATTAGAAACCAACAGTTTTGTTCTTAATTTCATTTGGAGCTAAGAGGACTAATTTGATTTTCAATCTCTTCTCCCTTATCCTGATTTTAAAAGCCCTTCTTCTTCCTTTTTTTTTTTTTTTTTTTTTTTTGGCATACGTAGTAACCATAGCAGAAAGATTTAATTTGGGCAACTTTGATTCTTCAAAGAGAAAACAAAGCATGTGAATAAACTTTGAAGTGTTCACCTCAGTTTGGGACCAAACTGCTTGGATCTTTGTAAAAATTGGTTTTGTATGTCGAGGAGGAGTTCAAGGCCTTTCTGACCACCTTGTGTTCCCCTTTTCTGCACAGCCATGTATCCGATGGTGTGCTGCTAACCATACCCCACGTCCCCCCCACACCCCAATATTTTCTGATTTCTTCTGGGCTGGGCATCCCATTCTCCACCAGCAGCTCCAGTATCCCAAACTTTGTAGTCCTGCTGATCCTCTCAGCAACAGGGGTGGAAACTGGACGGCAGTTTCTGGTCTGTTTTCTAAGAAACTTCTGAATTCTATTATCTTTACAAATATAAGATGAGAAAATAATTTTTTCAATATTTTTTATTAATCTTTTTATAAAATGAAAAGAAACTCCTATGATCGATTAAGGAAGGTGGTTATGGCTGGGTGGTTTGTGGGGGTTTGTTTTTTCTTTTCCTTTTTTTTTTTTTTTTTTTTAACCTTAAGCTTTAAGTTGAAACATTCTTGGATGTTTGGGGGGAAAACATCCTCTTAAAATGGGTCCTTGTGCTTGCCTTCTGGGGAGGCGGTCCTGAGCAGGTGAATCATATGGCATTTATGCATATGTTATATGCGGACTGCACCCACCTCTTCCCCCCACCCCCAACCTTTGCCTCTTGGGTTGTTGTGCTTCTTTCCCCTTACTTTGCTACATTTCTATAGTTAAGTTGGTTTTACTTGAATGATTCATGTTTAGGGGGAAAAAATGAAAACACCCTTCAAATTTGTTTCAACTCCTCCTGCAAATAAATAAATAAATGAAGAAGGCAGATGTAAATGGACTCTGGTCATTGTCACCCTTAGTGTGTGGGGGGGGGAGGGGGGAGGGTACCTGCCACAACAGCTTCAGGGCAGCTGAAAGACAAATGTCTGTGAGGGCTGGGCCCAGACTGTTGCTCAGTCTCTTCATCAGCTCCGTGCCCAGTTGTTCTGGGAGGAGACTGCCACCCTTTGCTGGCTAGTTAACTCGTCACCCCAGTGGTTTTGCATCATCCTGTAACTTGGACACCCCAAGAGAACTAGGTTTTTTCCCTGTGTTATGGGCAAGGACTTTGGCTTCCAAAGTGGGGTAAAGGTCACGGGTTGTGGACAACAGGTTCAGCCTTCCGTGTTCACCACTGAGCAGAAAGATTACTTGAAAGCCCAGCCTGGATGGGAT